GACTAGCTCTTGGAAACACAAGGTCATATTTCTGCCATTATTAATCACCTTTTTAAAAAAGATTTCAGGGATTACGAATGAATATAAAATGCATACACAGACTTAGCGGTGCTGGTCTCAAGAGCTTACAAAGTGGCAAGTGGCAAGCATCTTGGAGCTCAACGGGAACTCTGTAACATGCCCTCACATATTTCCAGCCTCTGCTCTTCCACGAGGCCAACTGAAAGTGCTTACTGTTCTCAAGGACAAGCAGGTCATTGCTGCTGGATCATATAATTAAAGATCAGTCAACAGGGAGCATTCACAGAGCCAAACATTCTCCGACTTGATGATATTCATGAACTATTTCCAAGGTTGACTCAATACATGTAAATTTTTTTTTATCTCATTGGACCTGATAAATGTTACCATTTACTGTGTTCAACTGTGAGAACGTTCAATATGACACAAAGCAAAGATCAAGGCCTGGGAAATTTTGTTACCTGTGAGTTTATCCTTGGGAAAGAAGTTGGGCCACGTTTCTTATTCTGCTTATCACCTTGGGAGGCTCTGAGAGTTTCTGAAAGGGTGTGGCTTTGTTTTGCAGCTCTGTAGGACACCCAGGCTACCTAGCTAATTAATACCCATGCCACTTAAGAGCAGGCAAACCTTCTAACTGAGAATGTTCACTCTCAGGGAACCAGCTGTCGCTTACAGTAGAGCTCACTAATCTTCTGTCCTCGGACGGATGGCATTGTGCACTTAATTACTATGGAGAGATGGGTCCATTAAAGGCAGAACTAATTCTGCCTGTCTGGACTCTACCCTGTGAGCCCACTCAAGCGCCTCTGCTGTGCACTATGCAAAATGAAATCTCATGGGTCCATCTCCGCTTTAAGGGGAAGATCTAATAAATTAGCACTGGGAGAGGAGGAAAACACAGATGATATTAAAATACACTGAATGTGAGGTTCCAGCTGAGTGACTCTACATTATTTTCCACCCCAAGGGTAAAATTTTCCATGACTATGGTTTAGAAAACCAGATGTATTACATTTTTTTTCCTTTTTCCAAAGCATTTGGATGCATGTGTGAGAAACACCCAACACATGATCCTCGTGCAGCAAGTTTTCGACTAAGTAGAAATCAATGAATACTACTTGAGTTAATTACAGATACTTTATAGTAATGATTGCTAACATCTCTTTTAAAAAAATAATAAAACTGGTACAGCCATAGTGCTGTGCTGTAGGGAAGAGCAACAGACTTGTAAACCCTGGGGCAAGGTTCTGTCTACCAGAGGATGCTGCTGTAAGGAGACCCCCGTAAGCTACCATCACCATGCCTGCCCAGGAGGCAAAGCCTTCAACTGAGGACTTTGGGGAGAAGAAGTAAGAAGTGTGCATTAAACTCAGTCATTGGACAGGATAGCAGATAGGAGATTCACTTTAAAGAAAAAATGATGACACCTCTCAAGAAAACCAAAGAACCATATCGTCAAAGATAGGGTGTTACAATGAATTGACTCAGGTTTCTCTTTGAAGGTCACAGAGAACTGATGATAATCACACTCCAAAAGGACTGGGAATGGAAGAAGATGTGATCGAAGTTTATCGGCAACAAACAGGAGTCATTTAACGGTTTAGGTATTCTTTTTATTTTTTGTCTTTTTCCTCAATCCTTTTTTATTTTTACGAATAGTTCTCCTGTAATGTGATGTTCAGAACGGAATGCAAAACTGGCTCCCCATTTCTTTAAAACATCTGGCAACTGGAATTCGAGTGCCCATCATTCATTATTGTTCGTTTTCATTGTGCTGGTTTTTGGTGATCAAACCTCAATCTCCTTCATACTGCCCTCTCCTTTTGAAATATTACATATGTACAAAGGGAGACCACCTTTCTCAGGACTATGCACTTTCAGGCTTGTGATAAATAAGGTTGGCCAATGCCAGTGCTCACAATGACTTCCTAACTGGCCCTGCAATTCTAGCATGTGATTGCTTTACTCCAGGACCATGACTTTCAGTGGGAGATAGAAGTTTTCCAGAGAACTTAACGTGAAGTTACTTTTAAAATTTGACGGTCTGAAATAAACGAAGAGGAATATCAGGTTGGAGTCAAGATGACAGATGAAATGAGAGTAAAGACTAACTCCAATGATGGCTTCACTAAAGGGAAAGCTTTTTAAGAGTAAAGAAAAATCTTGTCAGAAGATTCCAGAAAAGTTCCTTTTATTAGCAGTTAATAAAATTATTTATGTAGAAGTGTATACAACAGAACACTGCTCTTTTTTATTTTATTTGTACTTTTTGGCCCGGGATATGGTTTTAAATGGATATTGTACCAGCTTCATTAAAATAAAATATTTGTAAAAAAAAAAAAACAAAACTGGAAGATTTTAAAGGATTATTTTGCAAAGTAGCATTTTATTTTCTAATTAAGTCATTGTTGGAGAACTCATTCCATGAGCTAAATTCTCCCCATGGACTCTGGCATTATGACAAACTTGCTAATAACAGCAATTAAAAGTTCCTTTGAAAATTCCTCTTTCTTGAGTCACATTAGTCAGTGACAATGAAGGGTGGATGGGGGCACGGAGAAAACTGCTCTTCCGTGTGACCTTTCAAGCTGCTTGTGAGCAGGAAGGATGTCCCCATTCTGCCCTGCCACAAACGCACTTGACATAGTAGCAAACTGGCTTTGGATTATGAAAAATGTTTGCCATTTAGTAAACAAGCAAGTGATGCACATATTTTGTTTTTCATATACTCGACAATATAAATAAAACTAAATCTGTGCCTTCTTTTCCTTTGGATGAGGCCTTCCATTTGAGAAAAAGTCTTGTACTTCTGCATGTATTTTGGGGACACAGATATCTAACAGTTCCATTTGGGGGGGGCTTAAAAATGTTTCTTTTTTCTATTTTAAGTACTTTTTATACTTTTTGATGTGTAGTACTTGATGTTCTTACCAGAAAATTAATTGAGTTTTGAAGCCTTTATTCAAACTACTTTTTAAAAAGGGTTTTATTTATTTTTAGAGAGAGGGGAAGAAAGGGAGAAAGAAATGGAGAGAAACAACAATCGGTTGCCTCTCGCATGCCCCCCGTTGGGAACCTGGCCTGTAACCCAGGCATATGCTCTGACTGGGAATCAACACAGTGACCTTTTGGTTTGCAGGCTGGTGCTCAATCCACTGAGCCACACCAGCTGGGGCTCAAACTACTTTTAAATAAGTGGTTTATTGTTAGTGTTTTTTTAATAACATGTTTTTTCTTTACCTTTTTATTTCTTTTTTTCCATTGTATATATATTTACATAATTTCCAATCCAGAATACTGCCCTGCCATTCATGAAGAATGTTCTGGCACCAAAATTAGTGGCAAATGTTAAGGACAATAGAAGATTAAAGCAGAGAGCCATTCAGCTTCAGTCTTTGCATACCATGAATGAATAAATCATTAAAACATCACATGAAGGTTACATGGTGATTGTTCACCCTTCAGTACTTTGGACTTTTCACACTTTGTCACCTTTACAGTGAACCAGAGTAAAAATATTCATCCACCATTACGGTTATTTGCTTATTTATTTATTTATTTATTTGATGGTTGCATTCTAGCCTTATGACACTACTGCAACCATACTGGCTGTACCATCTTTATTGCCACAATGTGTTAAGCATTATATGCTAATAGAATCTATTTCTATTGTTTCAGGTGAAAAGTATTCTTTCAGTTTCCATTTTGAATGTGTTTGGATTAAACAAACAAACTGCTAATACCTGCAGGGAAAAAAACAGCTCTTCAGTTGTGAACATCTTATTTGTATACGGAGAGAAAGCAGTAAAGGGAAAAATACACATTTCCCCCAGGCCTGTGCTCAAAAAGTAGACATCATTACTTTTCATCATTTGGATCTGAGCCAAAGTGCTGATGACAGCCCTTTCCCACTTGACCCTCTGTGGCTCCGGGCCGAGGGAGGGGCTGCAGCTGTGGAGTCCAGGGCGAGGGAGTGCCGAGTATGTTTGTGGCTGGGCGGCTGCAGCCACACCCACCCTCCCAGGGTGCTGGCTGTACCTAGAGTCCACTGGCTCTGCTCCCCACCCCAGAGCCAGGGTCCAGGGCTTGGGGCCTCAGCTCTGCCCTATGGAACCCTCAGAGAAGCAACACAGGATCAAAAAGACTCAGAACTAGAAGGCTGGGAGTGAGGAAGCTTTAACACTGGGTGCCTCCCAGGGTCTCAATGCTCCAAACCCACCACAGCTGCTGTTTTATATAAAACGGCAAAAAATCTGGGTGGTATCAATAGTATCTTTGGCTTATTAAGCAACATCTATCTGCTTAATAATGAATGTATGTGGCCTTTGGCAACAATAATAAGTATGTAATATTTACAATGAAATCCCACCTTTTTAAATGCTTTAATTTTTTTAAGTGTCATCAAATATTTTTATTTGGGGTATTATGTTTCAAGTGGCCCCAAAAGAACCTGAAACACTTTATACATGATGGGGGTTAGTTTTTTAAAAATACTTGTTCTTTTCTCCTTATGCATTATGTTACCAAATTAGTGATCTTGCCAAGTGCCCATTCAGCTGAACATTAACAAAGAAGTCCTGTACTTTCTTTTTCTGCCATGATGAGAGAGCAGCACTCAGTATTCTCTCCTCCTTGGGAGAATGACCAACCTTTATGACGCCTCAGATCGTTCTACAGAATACTTTTTTTTCCCTCTTTCTGCAGCACATTCTCTGGCCTTGAGGGGACAGAGTTGATCTGATCTTCCTACGGTACTCATTGACAGGTGTAAGCCAAATGAACTAATGAGCTGACACTATTGCGAAAGCTTTAATGAAGTGATTTCTAGCAAACATACAACATGAAACCACGTGCAACCAGAGAAGTTTTCTGCCCTCCTGAACGTGGCCCGTGATAAAAGATGACAAGACGACACAGACACAGATTAGGATCCCCTCTCCCGGATGTGGGTAGAAGTGGGGCTGGGACCCCGCACCCACCTGCCTGTGGAGCTGCCCTCCATCTGCAGGCTGCAGTCGGGATCCGTGGCCAGCGACCTGCACAGGGGAGAGTGGAGAGCGCTCCCCTACTGAAGAGCCACAGCCTGGACCGTCGTCCTCCTGGTCTGGGCTGTCCCCTTGTAGGTCCCCCTGGACTGCAAGCTCACCAAGTCTGGGGTGGAGCTCTGGGTGCTCGCTCTGAAAAGAGAAGGAGGTGATGGTCACAGCTTTACCCAAATCCTTCTGCTGTGCAGTCTGACTTTTACAATTTGAGGATAATTATCAAACTCTTCATTTCTCAGCCCTCTCCCCGAATGTGCTCATTTTGGCCATTTCACTCATTGGCCACTTTCTCCATTTAAATAACATACAGTGAGTAAATACAGTTTTCTAGAAAAGATTAGATATTTTACTGCCTATAAATTACTGCTTATCGTTACAGTTTTATACATTAGAGGAGGAACTCCAAAGTATTGATCAACACAAAACGTTACAACTATTTCTAGGTTTTGAGTAACGATGGTTTTCTATTTCATGGATATTTGGAAGCAGGTTGAATTCATTTTTGAAGGCTTTCTTCACCCTGAGGAAAGGGAGTCACCATATCTTCCTACTCACAGGATGACTTAAAATTACACTGCTCGCCAGAGTGAAAAGCAGACGAAAGGTCTTTGGGGACTAAAAGGAAACCAATATTCAGAAAGAAGCAGCTGACTGCGTAGCCAGCAGTAGAGACACACCCAACACCAGGGGTTCCAGCCCTGCTCTCACCTGAGAGCGAGGCCAGGCCGGGAAGGAGCCAGCAGAGGTCACGGTCACTCTGGCTTAATCAGTAAAATCCATCTGAGAACAAATAACTCTGTTCTGGTCCTGTTATGAATCTAGGAATTGAGCCATGTTCCCTTTCGTAGGAAAACACACAAATTTCAGAGGCAGCAAGAAAGTGACCTGCCTGGAGCTTAAAAGAGACCCTTATAAAACTGCACTGGCAGAACGAGCTCTGGCATTTAGGGAGAAAGACTGAAATGGAAGGGGGAGGGAAGCAGTTAGAACGAGGTTTCACCGACTAGCAGGGTAGAAGGAGGCAGTCAAGGATCTCAGGGTGATCACTTTAATGAATTCATAAATCAGCAACAAAAGAGATGGCAGCAAAACTGTTGCAGAATGGAGTTAGAGACCCATATACTCTTAAAACAAGGCCAAAGGACAGCACAGAGCTCTTGGTGTGATACATAATTGGACAACCCACTGTACTTCCATTGCCTGGGGTGGATGTGACAAAATAATCTGAACTAATAGAACATGACTTTGTGTACAGGGGAAAGGGAATGGCAGTTTCTGGAGGTCAAGAACAAAACCAATGTAAACAAAATGAACTCTCTGAGTGGAGGTACCTCAGTGAAACCCTCTCCTTCCTCCTCCATCTGTTTCCCTTGTCGCCAGTGCTTCAGCAGCCACCTGAGCTTGACGTAAAAAAGAAAAATGTTCTGCTTCAAGGACCGGAGCTCCTGCTGCATCAGATTCCTCTCATCACTCCAGGTTCGCTCATGGAGGGTGTTCTGCAAAGCCAAGCTGTGCATTTCCAGGTCTTTCCACCTTAAGGCATAGAGGTGCTCCTCCTCCATCTTGAATGGAAGAAAAGACAGTGTGACAAGCAGCTATCCCAATTTGCCACCCAAAACAAACCAAGAGTCTTTGCAAACTACCATTCAATCCATATCATTTTGCATATGGTACATGAAATACAGAAACCACCAGAAGTTTAGTAAACTCCTTGAGATGTTCACTATTTATAAAACCTTATGAGTGTTCTGATTCAGAAGACAGTGCTATTTCAAGATAAGGTATTATAATCATTTATCAAAGTCAAGTCTCTCCTGGTGTTTTCAGATGTTTCTAAATGCATTCAGGAAAATTATTTCTTGATGTATGGCTACAGCTGACTTAAATGCAGAATCTACTTGCTGTCTGAACCTGAGCTTGCACACAAAAACATACTGCAGTTGTAATGAGGAAAGAAGTATTTAGAAATCTTTCCCCTTGACTTCCTGGGCCCACTGGCCCCTCAGCCCCTGACAGAAAGAGAACAGCAAGCTGAAGAAGAGGCCAACAGGAGCCTGACAGCGAGAGCTGGGGGCCAGCAGGCCCCCTTTCTGCACACACAGTACTCCACTGCGCACGGTGGTAGGCAATAGGAAAGGAAGTCCATAACCTACACGCCCTTCCACGCTTAAGATTTCACATTCCTATTACATATGGCTAACTCTTAAGAAAATAAAAGCAGTGCTGAAAAAAATGTTTTTCCATCTCTACATTAAGTTCCTGCATTTCAACATAGGTCTAAGCAAAAGGGTATGAATAAAATCTTAATTTACAGACAAGGGCACAAAAATAGTATCTATAGAAGCTAAAGTGGGATGAAAAAAGGATTAGATTGCCAGCCTTATCATTATCAGCTGTCCTCTCCTAATTTAACACACCCTTTTTGGGCCAAAAACCAAGGCAGTGGGTTTTGTTTTGTTTTCTTAAATTACTACATTAATGCTCAGAAACCATGGGAGTATGACGGATACCACTGAGGTCGATGTACGTGACTGATGTGCTACAGGCCAGTGAAGAGCGAGAAGCAGCTCTGGGAAGGTCCCTGGGTGTGTGCAATGACTTGTGTGTCACTGTCCTAATACCAGATTTTGTTTGCACTTCTAGCTGATTTAACTCATGTCTCAGCAGCCCTCAGAGTCCCACCACTGGTTCTCTCCCTAGCCTGGACATAAGAATGGCACAGAGTGGGTAGGCGGGCAGCCTAGCGTGCTAGAAATCCAGGGTTCCCAACTTACTCGCATGTTAGGCCATCAGCTGCCTTTGGTTAAGTTTCAGCTTCCTCAGCTGCAAAATGATCAAGCTAATAGGGAACGCCGTGCAGGAGCCTCGCTCATGGCAGGTTCTCCAGAGGCACTAAATTATTAGTGGGGATGGAGCACTGGGGGCTTTTCTCTTAGTCCTTTCACCTGCAACCACCTGGAAATGCTCCTTCCTGACTCGCTCTCTCTGACTTCTCCTCCACTGCCCTGCTGCCGCCGCCGGCTCCAGGACCCCAGGCACTTCCCAAGACTCAGAGCTGGTCCTCTGCCCTGCGGTGTTAGGGGACACCTTCCCCTCTGAACGAGTCTGGATGACATTTCATCACCTCGGACCAAGGTCCGGGAGCTTCTTTCACACGCTCCTTTATCCTGAATACAAATACTAGAAACACCTGGGACCCTGACATTTGACTATCAGCATCACCAGGGATAAGTTCATTTTCAAACATGATTTTTGGTGCAATGCAAAAATAAAAAAAGTTTAATTACTTAAGAATTTATTTTTTGGGTAACATGAAATTATTTTCCTTTTGTAATAATCTGTAAAACATGAGCTATAAATGAAATGTTTAAAAGGGGGGTGCATCTGGTGGTAAAGACTGGCAGAGCACTTTTAGATATTGGCATTCAGCTTTGCTCTCTCCAAGGTGCAGGGTGCAGAAGGTGCTCCCTTAGTCAGGTCTGGCCTATTTAGATGAGCATGCCGTGGAAAACCGAGGGGCTTATGTGTTAATTTCTGGGATACCCAACTTTGCATAGGATACACATTTTAAAGCATTGTGATCCTCTGGTCAAGATCAACTGATTTTTTTTTTAAAAACAGAAGTATTTTCCCCAATAAATTCAATAAAAAATAAATAAAAATACAAGTATCTTTTGAGAACAACTAGAAGGCGGAAAAGGCAGCAGGGGCGATTCTGAGCCTGTGTATCTGTTTACAACCTAATTAGATTTGAGGTGGCTGGAACTGGACAGTCCTCAGGGAGGCCCCCGGGCAATGAGTGCCTGTGTCTGCTAATCTCTTCTCCTGGGCATGCTGGGAAGGATTTAATGGAGAAGGATAATTAGCCAGTAACAGTTTGTTCTAAAATAGCTAGAAGAGCTAATAAGGCCACAGCTCAATTAATGCAAGCTTTTTGAAGACAACGATTTAGGGTGAATTGTCCTTTCGTCTGTGCCCAGATGGAAATGCTCCGTCCTGACTCACTCTCTGACCTCTCCTCCACTGTCCTGCTGCCCTGCTTCAGGACGCCAAGCACCGCCCTCGGCGCAGAGCCGGCCCTCTGCCCTGGGGTGTGTAGGGAAACACCTCAACAAAAGTTGCTGGACGCACATTCATGTCCAGCTGCACATAGGGCCCTTATTTTATTTTACTTTGCTGGTTTTGGCTGCAGGAAAATTTAGATTAGATATTAAGAACTTCCTGAGGCCACTCCGTAAATACTGAAAAGCATGTTTTAGAACAGAAAGGTAGACATTTATCTTTATAAGGTATCTGAGTGGGTGCTCGACTGGATGACTTTTCCAAATGCCCCCCAGCCCCATGAGTCCAGAGTCTGTGCGTGACAGACAGGGTTCTTTTAAAACACATCTGTCATCTCTCTCGAGGGGCTAGAGATGGGGTTGTGCTCAAATCCATGTTACATATTTACCTTTCGGATCTTGTTTGTAAATCTCTCTGTCTCCTCTTGATGCAGTCTGGTCGCCTGTGCAAGCTGACCCTGTAGGTCCTCTAGCGATACACTCTGTTCAGGTAAAACAGGGGGGCCCCTGAGCTGATCAGTGGGATAAAGGAAGGGGTTTAGTGGATGCGAGAACTCTGCCTGAAGTGAAGACACAGGACAGACACCTGAACAAGCCAGGGACACACAAAGAGCAACACAGCACGTGCGGGCGCTGCAGCAGTGGAGTGACTCTGGGGCAACTCCCTGTGCTTCTCGGCCTGTGACCTTGTGCTAGCTGGGAAGGACAACTTCACCTGCCCTTCGTCTCTCACCTAGGAGACAAGGTGGGTGAGTGGTGCCTATCATCTGATCTTCGACCGCCACAGTAACTCAAACGAGGCTGAGAAGGGAGCCAGGGTACACCAGAGGAGTCTTTGCTACCACAGCAGCTTCTAGAGAGTTTTATGAAATGCTGGGGGCGATCAGAGCTGGTGACTATGACAGGGTCAAGCATGGCCACCTCACACAGTCAGCTTCTTAGATTCACTGCCCCAGCTCACACATGTTTAAGTTGCATAATTAATTTGTTTGTATGCTTTCTTAGGAGAGCATTTCCTGCCTTCCTTCTCTCCGGGCAGTCCCATCCTGGATGCTCAGAGCAACTGGGGGTGGGCACATCGTTGTGGACCTCTCCACTGCCCACGGTCCATGCCTAAGTGGAATCACACAAAGACCTGCTCGTTACATTTTAGGTTAAAAATAGTGAAAGGAATCTTTTAGAACTCTTTTATTGGTGAAGTTTGTCCTTTCATGCCTTTTATGTCCAAATGACAATGACAGAGGAGTCAGACTACTTTTGAAATGAATTTTTTAGAGATAGAAACACTGTTATATTAAAAATCTTAAGGCATTATTAAAATTGAAGCATAAGATTTTGCTCACAGGCTTATGCTACCTGAAGACAGGTGATTTATAAAGCTAGGATTTAGAGTAAGTTGTTGCAATAAAAACTGGTATCATTTCAGTAGCTCATTCTGATTACCTTTAACCAATATGTTATTTCTCACTGAGAATATCATTTGCCCTTCCTAATCTGATCCTGAATTGTCATGATTGAAAATCATACCCCAAGATCAGGATATACAGAAAATACAATGGCGGGTCAGTTCCCTAAGCACAAGGGATGACCAAAAGAGAGTTTACCAAAAGGATCTAGACAGAGAAAATCAGAGACGCTTGGGGAGTCCCAGCTTTGGGACAACATTTTTAAAAAATTTAAGCTCATCCTACTTTCAATAAATTCAAGTACTGAGAACATTAATGCTTCTTTGATTGGGTAGTTATTAAAGATTATTAGTATAGTCTTTTATATTTACTAGGCAGGGTTTCAGGTTCTCTTTGAAGAAAGCACTTCACTACACATTGAATTTACTCCAAAGACTAATTTCTCATTTCTAAAAGTTCAATCTTATTGTTTTTTAATATATATATTGTTAGCAGCCGTTGTCCCTTTCCTGAGCCCTCCCCCACAGAGAGCCTGATTTTTACAATGACTTGTTCTTTTCACCTGTTTGCTTGCCTTTTGTAGTTTTGAAGATTTTTACAATGACTTATTCTTTTCACCTGTTTGCTTGCCTTTTGTAGTTTTGAACACATTTATTTTATAGTCTCTCTCTGATAATTCTAGAGTCTGAAGATTTAGCGTTGAGTCCTGTTGTTGGACATTGGCTGGCTCCTGCACCAGGTGCATGTTTTTGGCTTGGATGCCTGCAGTTTTGCATTGTGAGGTCATCTTCAATGGGGATGATCTCATATGTGACCTGGGCTGAGAATGTGCCTCCAGATGGACTCTGTTCGCAAAAGCCAGCAACAGAATCCTCAGGGATCTCCGGACCTCCAGGTGACATCAATTCAAAGTCTGATCCTGGCAAGGCCAGCTGTCCTTGCAGTTACTTGGGGCAGACTGCATATTGGTGGAGAAACTTCCCTGTTGCCTCCCTCTCCCGGAGGCAGATGTTTCTCCAGTTTGGCCTTTCACGATGTGCGGCACTTCGAGGATCCTGGTTCATTTTTTAAAAAATATATTTTATTGTTTATGCTGTTATAGTTATCCCAATTTTTCTCCCTCTGCCTCCCTTCACACAGTACCCCCCATTTTCTCCAGCAATCCCTCCCATCTTAGTTCATGTCCATGGGTCATGCATGTAAGTCCTTTGGCTACTCCATCTCCTATACTGTTCTTAACATCCCTCTGCCTATTCTGTACCTACCAATTTGTACTTTTTAATCTGTGCGCCTTTTCTCCCATTTTCCTTCTTCCCCCTCCCAACTGATAACCATCCAAATGACCTCCATATCTATGATTTTTTCCCTGTTCTGCCTGTTACTCAGTTTTTTTAGATTCAATTGTTGATAGTTGTGAATATATTGCCATTTTAATGTTCATAGTTTTGATCTTCTTTTTCTAAAATAAGCCACTTTAACAAATTTTATATAATAAGGGGTTGGTGATGACGAACTCCTTTAGCTTTCTTTGTTTGGGAAGCACTTTTTCTGCCCTTTGGTTCTAAATAGCTTTGCTGGATAGCATAATCTAAGTTGTAGGACCTTGCTTTTCATCACTTTGAGTGCTTCTTGCTAGCCCCTTCTTGCCTGCAAAGTTTCTTTTGAGAAATCAGCCGACCATCTTTTGGGAACTCATTTGTAGGTAACTATCCACTTTTCCCTTGCTGCTTTTAAGATTCTGTCTTTAACCTTTGGCATTTTAATTTTGTGTCTTGGTGTGGTCCTCTTTTGCATACATCTTGTTCTGTGTTTCCTAGACTTGTATGTCTATTTCCTTCACCAAATTAAGGATTTTTTTTCATTATTTTTTCAAATAAGTTTTCAATTTCTTGTTCTTCCTCTTCTCCTTCTGGTACTCGAATGATTTAAATGTTGGTACGTTTGAAGTTGTCCCAGAGACTCTTTACCCTATCCTCCTTTTTTTGGATTCTTTCTTCTTGCTGTTCTGATTCAATTTTCCTGTTTATGTTCCAAGTCATTGATTTGATTCTCAGCTCTGCTGTTCGTCCACTCTGCTGTTCATTCCTTGTAAATTTTTCTTTATTTCACTTAGTGTAACCTTTATTTCTGCCTGGGTCTTTTTTATGTTGTTGAATTACCCAATGAGTTCCTTGAGCATCCTAATCACCAGTGTTTTGAACTTTACATCTGATAGATTGCTTATCTCCATTTAGTTCTTTTTCTGGAGTTTTGGTCTGTTCTTCCATTTGTGCCATATTTCTTTGTCTCCTCATTTTGGCAGCCTCCCTGTGTTTGTTTCTATGTATTAGAAGCTGCTTTGACTCTCTGTCCTAGTAGTATAGCCTAGTGTAGAAAATTGCACCCATAAGTTGGATGGGTGGAACCTCAGGCAATTGCCTAGGCTGGGCAACTCGTGTAACCAAGTTGATGGAGTCTCAGATATGGGGTCACTGCTCTGTGGCTCTCTATGGGGAGGGCTCAGGAAAGGGACAATGGCTGCTGCCTGGCCTCTGGAGTTTTGTTCAGGAAGAAGCAGTCTCCTGGCACTTGCCCTGATGCTAGACACTTCAGTTTCTCCCTGTAGCCACTGGTGCCCTTCAAGCTGCTGCCCTGGTGCTGGAGCCCAGAGGGAGGGAGTCTGCATAAGTCCCAAGTCCATTGCAGACCCATTAAGAAGCGATGCCTAGAATCCTGCAGTTTCTTCCGCCACCCCAACCCCCAATGATTTTTACAGCCAGAGCTTATGGGGACTTACCTTCCTGGCATTGGAAGGCTGGGCTGGGGGCCATGGCGTGAAGCAGGATGCCTCAGTCATGAGACATCCTTCCTGATTTTTGTCCAATACACGTGGGTGTGGGACCACCCATTTTGTGTCTCTGTGTTTCCACCCCTCCCACCTGTCTTAATGAATGAGACTTCTTTAATTCCTTGGTTGTTGGGCTTCCTTCCACACAGCTCAATTTTCTGATGATTCTGGGTGACAGTTGTTTTGTAGTGTAGTTGTAATTTTTGTTGTGATTGTGCAAGGAGGGAAACTGTGTTTACCTACGCCTCCATCTTGCCTGAAAGTCCTGGTTCATTTCTTTCCCTGCCCATGTTAGACCCAAGGCCCTGTCTCCTGTTCTCTTAGAGCTATTAAAAATCCAAGACTCAAGGGTACGAATTCTGGCAACTATCTCCCCAACCCAACCATCTAAAGGCCACTAACTCTGCTCTGGTTTTCAATTCTGAAATCAATTTTAATTCTTGGAGACTTTTCTAATCTTAATGGGAATTCAGCTATATATTTCAAGGACATTTTATATTTTTGATCATGGTACCTCCCATGCCAGGTAAGTATTCAAGGGACATTTTATATTTTATGCGGTATTTTCTTTAACAAATCTTATTAAGCACCTATTGTGCTAGACACTATACTGAGGATATAGCAGTAAGTAATGCTGCCCCAAGTCCCTGCCCTCCTAAGGCTTCCCCTCTGGCACTTCAGTTGCTTTGCACAGGAGTGTTTTCAGGTTACCCTGGCCGCTAAGTTACATATTACTCTATACATTTCAAATGTAAAAATCCTCCATGTCTCTAACACATTTGGTATTAGCCCAAACTCCATATTAGATGTAAAATGGACATCCTAATAAAACTTAGCTTTTAAGAAAAGCAATAATCTATTAATTGAGTTTCCATTTATTACACTAAACTATTGTTTGGTTTTACTCTTAATAAATAATTATATAAACCATTTTTTAATTTTAAACAAACATTTGAGTCTCATACTTCAAGTATCATTTGATTAAAAATCTGTTCCTCTGTTCCTGTGTTTGCACCACACCTTTGAAGGATCAGAGAAAAGACCTTTGACATTCTATGGGGCTGTTCCTCTGGGGCATCTGATTTACCAACAGTGGCTCCCGTGGTGTCTGTAGATCCTGGTCAACAACAGGACTTTTGGATCCTCATCTATTAGAAGTTTTACCTTCCTTGTTCATTTTTGCTAATGGAATATTAAAACTATAGACTGCTAGGTGCTCCTGGTCGGGATGCTGTCATTCCAGTGTTAC